AAGTGTCTTGCCCAAGGACACAACGACAAGGACAGAGAGCCCAGGAATCGATCGAACTGGCGACCTTCCGGTTACAGATACGCTTCCCAACCCCCTGAAACGCACCAAATTTAAAATTTTCCCCAGCCGTGGTGCCAAAACTATTAAGTAGCTGTTCTGGAACACACAGCAGACTTCTTAGCAGAGGATTTCTCTGAGCTTTAAGCTTTACAACCAGCTTTCAACACAGTGCTGCATTTTGAACTAAAAGTCATGACAACTGCTGAGTGACAAAATCCTTTTACAGCACATACCTTTAATAGAGAAAGTTTGACATACCAGATTGAAGAAAACAACCATAAATATTATAAAAGAGATTCTGCTTTGCTGTCCAGCAAAATCAACCATCACCGTTGTTATTCAGTTAACCTGCTTTTAATTTACAAGCCAAAACAAAACAATTACATCTCTAAAAGCTAAACAAACCACAGATACAAAAACCTACCGAGACAAAGATGTGAAACACAAACATACATTTAAAAAGAACATTCAGAAAAACAAAACAAATTACTTTATTTGAAACAGATTTTCAGAATTTTAACTATACAGCAGTTTATACATCTGTAAGAGTGTACAGATGTTACTTTCCAGCTGGAGGCGAGTGCCACACTGCAGAGCTGGTACGTTTAAAATATCTGGGCTTGCTCTTGTAAAAGATGTTTTCTAGTCGTGGTGACTCGATTGCTCCAAAGAAAGAGTCCAAATCAGGAGGGTTGAAGTATTGCTTCATTATTATCTGCTGCAGATTGGGACCTGGAAGAGAGAGAGAGAGAGAGAGAACACAAACAGGTCTGTTTAGGGGCTTTAAATAGCATGCAATATCCACAAACACATGTGGGTTTAGCTCAGTTTGGTAGGGGTGTAAAATTGTGACGTAGAGACCAGAACTGTGATACAAATGTCTGAAATATCTTATCATGGTTCAAGTTTCCTGTAGTGTCATACCTAGGATTCTTCATCCCAAGTTAAAGTGTGCTAATATCAAGGGAGCCATTTCAAGTTCAGTCAGGAAATGAAGTTATATTTGTGATCAAGTAATCAGTTGTCCAACAGATCTCAGCAGATTTCTGCCTCTCCCTATTGAAGAGACTTCTTCCTCTTATTTGTTTGCTCAACAAATAAGTTTGGGTTTTTTTTGTTTTGTTTTTGTGGTTAGTATTTATTCGTTTGTGCTCTGCCCAACTGGGAATGAAATGCTTGGACCAGCTGGCTTTTCAGGGTGCAGAACGCATGCAAACGTGGAAGTTACAGAGTGCCCCCTGGTGGCCAAACTATACAATCTTAACCACTGTAAATGTTCACATTGCACATGTGCAGGTATGGCCAAAATCTCATATCCCCGCACACAAATTTTATAATAATTTATATAATATAATGTGTTTTTCTGGATACACTTTTTTCAGCATTCAAAAATTGATGACACCGTGTCAGAGCACTGGCTATGAATTTCAGACGGATCAGGCCTTAACTTAACGAAAAAGTTATCAATAGTTCTTTTCTCATTACCCACAGCTACATCCACTTCTGTCAGGCCTAGGTTGCTCACTAGGGCTGGGTATCATCACTGATTTCTATAATCCATTCGATTCTGGTTTTCAAAGTCCCGATTCGATTCAACTTAGCCTCAGACAGTCAGAAATATTATAATTCTGATCATTTATCGGTACTGATACATGTGAGACTTCATCAGAATTATTAACATCACAGCAGATGCCTTTGTGTGAAAGTAACTGAGAATAAAACACAGAAAAACATGGAGATTTTCCTGCTCTGGCTTTTTATAGCAGATAACCTTAAAAATATTCTACAATATTCTGCATATAAAGTTTAAATTACTTCAGTATTGAACAACAGAAATTAGACAGTGGCCGACAGCGCCGTAAACAACGGTAGACTGGTGGGTAATAAGCGAATGAATAATACATTAAACAGAGATTGTGTGTGCGCGTCGGGTCTGTGTTACGTCTTTGTGTGGAATCCGTGTACCTGGATTGGTTTGGTTGTTGTTGAAATTGTTTTTCTGGCAAAACACAGTTATATTTAAAAGTCGATTCAGGATTTAATGAATCGATATCGCTTTATTCAAGCTACTCACCTCTCTCTTCCACCTGCACTTTCAACTGGACCACGGCCAATCAGAGAGGTCCCGCCCCTTACCATCTCTGATTGGTTTAGTCCACGATAGGGGCATAATGTGTGTCTGTTGCTGACCACAGGGAAGGTTGCAGAATTTTTTTTTTTTTTTTGCTACCCGAACAGTTGGTCGCACAGGTGCAACCAAAATTTTTTTATTTTATTTTATTTTTTTAGTCGCACCACTGAAAAATTTGGTCGCATTTGCGACTCTAGAGCCCTGATATACATCACAAAATAGTGCCTTTCTAAATTCTGTGAATCTCGGGCACCTCAACTTGTCTCAGATTTTCAAAGCAGGGTCTTAAAAAAACCATCATGGTGCTGGGCCATTTCCGTTCACCAGCAATTCCCTAAATTTAGGGGGGGGAAGAAAGAAAACCCCAAACGCCAGACATGGTGGGGGAAGGAGGGAAGGGGAAAAGAAAAAAAATAAAAAATCCTCTCCGTCTTCTTGATGCAAACACAAATTCAGGCTTGGTGACCCAGATAGAGGAGAGTTCGAGTTCGAGTTAATGGAGGTTACAATATTTCTTTGACTGGAGCTGTGTAGTAGCAGTAGTAGGACTCCATGGTGAATTTTGAGCTTAGTATGAATCCACCGTAACAATTTGAGACAATCAATTATAACTGAGCTGGATTAACGTGTAACACATAAGCACTTCAGGTATACTGAAGAGTTAAGAGATCATTAAATACCTTCTGCCCAGGATGGAATAGGCTTCCTTGGTGCAGACTCGTCATCAGTAGAGTCATCACTGTTTTGGTCCATCCCATAGTCTTCTGAATTTTTGGACAAAATCAAAGGTTTATCTCCACCCTTTGGCGTGATAGCATATGACTGTGGCGAGGAGTGCTGCAGAAAGAGGAGGGAAAAAAATTATTTAGTCTTTGTTTAGAATAAATATACGTGTGTTAAAAATACATAAAAACAATCACATACCTCAATATCAACAGTCACGTTGAGATCACCACCTTTTCCTACAGGTGTGCTCATTACTGAGCGCTGAACAGTTCAAGAAAATTGGGAAATTACACGTTAATTTACACCCTTTGAAACATTTATTATAAATGTTTGCTACTGAGAAACTAAATTAAATGCTAATCTATTACCTTTGTCATGGACACACACGTAATCATTTTCACATGCTTATTAAGGCTTCAGATGAAGAGACATGGTATAATGAATATAATCTAATGTAAAAAGTATAATATCTATTGTTATTACCTCAATATCCACAGTCACATTTAGGTTAGCAGCAGTCTGTATTGCATGGGGAGAGGGAGAAGGAAATTTAATAAGGTTTAGGGAAAAAACAACAACAACAACAACACAAAAAAAAAAAAAAACAAACCCTTAAAAGCGGTTTCATTTGAAATATTTTTGTTGACTATATGATCTCAAATAACAGAACGCATAGAAACACAGGAAATGTTTCTGTAGTTTGGGTTTGCTCCCCAGTTTGTACCTATGTTAAGATGTCTCGATGAACTGAAGGTTTTGCTGTACCTGTGTTTTAGCAGCCTCTTGAGCAGCAGCGTCCCTCTGCTTAGCAGCTTCCAGCTCTTTAGCAGCTTTCTCTTTTGCTGCCAGCCTTTGCTGCTCCTCCTAGTAGAAGAAAAACCAGACAGCTGAGCAGCTGCAGTCACAAACAGCTGCTGACAGACGTCCTCATACATTAAGTTAATGAGATTACCACGTGTTGAGTTTTTATGAGAAGAGAAAACTTTCCGAGTCATTTTCTGAAAGAGTCCTGCTAATTAACATCTGCTGAAGTGGATCCCCATCAAACACCGTGAACGAGAAGCTCTAGCATAGACAGTGGAGAACCTGCTGCAGTCTTTACATACCTCACTGACCATGACATCAAATGCAAGAAAGCCACAGACTTGCATGTTTCTGCCACACTGATTATGTGTGTGCACTTTCACCATTCAGTACTTTAGGACTAAACATTGAAGTAAATCTGATTTCCTTTGCTCTGCTAAATTGAAAGTACCTGAAGTAATTTTCTCTGCCACATACAAAAATGAGCTGAAATACTGAAGCCACTGACAAGTGAACTGTGATGCTGCATCACATTGCTTTGCTGGGAAAGCACCCAGCAATAACACATATTGGTACATACACCACAGAGAAAAAACAAACACCACCACAGGTTCACATTAGGACCAATACCTTATAGTTTGGGCCAATTAAAATGGTGCTTGTAATATGCATCATCAGGGATTGTAACATCTAGTCCTTTTATTTAATAATGCTGCTAATATAATAATAATAATAATAATAATAATAATAATAATAATAACAATAACAACAACAACAACAACAACAACGCACAGACTCACATCTTTAATTTCAGGGTATTCACATCCATGTTTCCTAATCATCTGAATCAAGTTCTATTTTTTGTTTTTAAATATCAAGCCCAAACATGGGGGAATTCCACTCACTTTTTATTTCTCTTATTAGGAGTAACTATTGCGAGTGCTCAAACATCAAGTTTTGTTTGAAATTCCGTTTCTTACCAGTTTTCTTTTTTCCTCGAGTGCCTTCCTTTTCTCCTCGAGTTCCCTCATCTCTTTCTCTCTCGCTGCTCTCTCAACTTCACGCTGCAGAGCAAGAGCTTTTTCTTTCTCCACTCGCTGTCTGCAAGCACAAACATCACATCAACTTTAAAAACAAAATCCAAAAACAAAACCTGGAGTGAAATCGCATCCTTTTCTTACAGGCTTTAACAATCTTTTTTGTTTGTCATTTCAGGTAATTAACACTTTAGGTATGTTAGGTATGGTGTTTTGTATATACACTACTCCTCCACATCACTGATCACAGTTTCCTGTTAACGGTTTCCATCTGTGAGGGACAGAGAGTAATAAAGGACAATTTATGGATGTTTGGAAAGTGAGAAATTTATTAATCATTTGAAATTCACATTGTTTAAGTCCTACTTCGCAGAGCAAAAAGTTTCCAGTGCAGCAGGATGATATCAGAGCCACCACAGCTCTTAGCACTAAAGTTAACAATAGCCTTTTAAGCTAAACATCTGGAGTTATATTTGTAACGGTGACTGTTAATGTTAACAACTGTGGATATATTTTATCTGATAAGCCCAAGTAACAGGTGTCCTTAAATTGGCAGCGGGGTCATTTATAATATGGAGCAGACTGGTTGTATAGCCAAACAAGAGAAAAGACCCCGGTCCTTTCTTTTTTTGGGGATACATTTTCAGTTTAAGAGGAAAAAACCGTTACAGTTAGTGGATTCTTAGAAAAGCCAATCAAAACCTAACAGTACTAATATATGCTTTTGTTTAATCAGGACCACATATTATTCTTCTGCATTCCTGTATACTGTGAGAAGTATTGAAATCATCATATGACCTTTCCGCAGCAGCTTGCCGTTCCCTCTCCAGCTCCCTTTCCCTCTCGTGTTCTTGCTCTCTCTTCAGCTCGAGAGCTTTACGAGCCTCTTCCTCAGCTTTCTTCTTGGCCAGCAACTCTTGCTGTCGCTTTTCTTCCTCCTGATTTAACAAACAAACAAACAAACATGCATGCAGTATAAGAAAATATAGTGCCTTTAACCCTCTGCACAAGAGCTGTAGTGCCAATACTCCACAAAAAGCAAATAACCTGCTGAATCTTCTTCTTTCTGGCCTCCTCTTCCATTTTCCTCTTCTGTTCTAGCTCCTCTTGACGCTTCAGGGCCGCTTTCTTCTTGGCCTTCTCCTCCGCCACGCGCTGCATGAATGTGTAGAATGGGAAAGACCGAGCAAATGTGAGTTGGTTTCTTTTAAAGCGGAATATACAGATTCAGGCCCAACAGAGCTGTTGCATACCTTATCATTTTTCTCATCAAGCTGAGCCATTTTTTGCTCAATCTTCTTCTTCTTCTCTTCCTCCCTCTGCTCCTCTTTTACTTTGGCCTCAAAGACTCTTCTTAACCTCTCGTCCCTCTTCCTAAAAGACGATGTTAGAAGTTAATTAAAAGAAATTTAAGTTGTGCCTTTGATTCTGAAATATGTGCATGGTTAACCTTTTAAGTTCCTCCTGTTTCCTCTTCTTATCCTCTTCCATTTTCCTCATCCTTTCCTCCTCTTGCTCCTGCTTCTTTTTAAGTGCTTCAAGTTTGTTGCGCTCTTTTGTCTGAGAATATAGAACAAAGAGGTTACAAATTAAGTAGATTTTCAAATAAAAACCTCATCCTGTCACAAAGAAATATGATCAAGATGCTGTAAGGTGAAAAGGTGGCAAACAATCATAAAATGAAAAAAAAAAAAAAAAAAAAAAAAAGGGGGGGGGGGGGGGAGAAAGCCCCCTACAGAAATAAAGCAAAAATCCATCCAAAATGCCAGTTTCATGGTCTCTAAAAGGTTCAGTTAAATCAAATGTGCAGATTAAAATAAGGAAACTATGCATTAAGAAGGCCATGAGGGAAAAACCACCAAGTGCACAAACACAGCACTGTACAAATCCCAAAAGTAACTGTGCGATATACTTCCCCAGTTTTATCTTAATCCACAAACAGGTCAATCACATTCAAAAGAAAATAAATAAAAAGCTTAGGTTAAGATGGATTTCTACTTTATGATGAAATAATGTCTCAAAGACAACACTGAGATTACCAAAGCTATTTAAAGTGATTTGATTTCTGTTAGCTTACAACATGACAAACAAAGACCATTAGTGACCCGTGAGATCAGGCTGATGAAATGTTTACAGAGCAGCCCCTTCCACACACGGCCGCTGTGAAACAAATGCATTTGATAAGCTTTAGGTTGTTTACATGCAGGTCGATCTCATGCCCATAAAAAGTGCAGCACAGAGGCCACCTTTACATTTAGTACTTGACTTTTTATTTAAAACACCCAAATGTCATGCCAGTGGGAAAGAGGCTTGGATGGGGAAAGTGCTAAATGAGTACAAGTTTAATCAAGTCACACAATGGGAATATTAAACACCAGCAATGCCCAAAAACAAAGTGCTTCGATGTTTGACATTACACTTACCACTATGCTAGTGTTGAACTGAGGAGAGGAGAAAGCACATCCAAATAAGGTCTGCATAATTCATACCAGACCACAAATATGACCCACAACATTTATGAAGTGCGTTTTGTTTTTGTCCCCCCACATGTTAAGCTCCCATAAGTTTCTCAAATACATACAAGATTTAGGTTTATGGGATGCTCACTGATGAAAGGACCTTTTCACATTAGTCCGATTAAAAGTGACTGAATGCAACTTTAAATTCACTGCAACACTGACATACCGAGCATGTGGAGAGAAGCTGGTACATATTAAATAATGCTACCTCGCAGCGTGTGAAGCTTACCTTAGGATCAATCCTCAGAGGAGTGTTGTGTTTGATGAAGGACTTGATCACTGCGGTCCGGCCGACTGAATTCGGAGTCATCATCAGCATCTGATTCTTTTGGACTGTGTGCAGAAAAGACTTCATGTGGGGTTTGATTGCCTGTTCATCCAGAGCAAACAGAAAGTGTCAAACCTTAAGAAATCCACTTAAAACATGAAAATGTCCATCAACCATATTAAGAGCTTCTTACACTTTGACTTTTCTTGGGAGGAGAGCACCTCTTTGTCGGACTTTCATCTATAGTATCAGGTGCTTTACGCTTAGTGCTGCGACTTGACCTTTAAAAAAAAAATTTAAAATTTTTTTTTTTTTAATTAATTAATTAATTAATAAAAAACAAACAAAAAAAACCCCCCACACAACACAGGTAGAAATAAATAAATAAAAATACAATTCATTTAGTTTTTCCTGTAAATGTGCTCTTTATCACAGCAGTCATATAGCACCCACCTCCGAACTGGCAGCAAATTCAGCTTCTCAGTGACAACTGAAAGAAAACAATGTTTTCAGTGCAAATAAGTCTCAAATGAAATGACATTTAGACTTAAAAAAATAAATAAATATTGTATTTGTTAATAGTTTCCATACTTGCTCGGTTAGGAGTCATCTCACTGATAAACAATGATGGGGGCGCCAGTTTGGGTGAGTTTGCAGCCACGGAACGAGTGATGCGCACGAGAGACTGTTGTACACCCTGGTTATCAAATGTTGATCATTAACACAACGCTACTTCAAAGTTACTGCTTTGATTATTAAAAGGCTCTATGTACATACCTCTGGAGTTCGCTGAGATTTCGGAGGTCCAGCATTATCCACAGATACAGCGTCTGACAGCCTATAGGAGCGAATAAACAAACATCACACTTTATTAGCACTGTTCGTGCAAGTTGGAGTGAAGCAGACCGTGAAGTGTTTTTAAATAAAGGATTTTAAAGCCAAAATGGAAGCTGACATTCATCCAGAGCAGGGACTTTAATATGGGTTAAATGTGTTGTTTTTATTCTGGATCTAATAAGACATCAAGCAGCTAAGTTTTCATGTAGACCAGACAGACTAGAGTAGTCAAGTCTGCTAGATGTAAAAGTGTGCATCGGTTTCTTAGAGTGCCTCAGAGACAGAAAAGGTCACATTTTAAGACTATTTTTAAAGTAATACAGTTAGATCATGAGTATTTGGAAAATGGCACTTCTTGTTGTTCTGGCTCTGTACACAACCACAGTGGATTTTTAAAAACAAATAAGATGTCATTGAAGTGCAGACTTTCAGCTTTAATGCAGGGGGTTTAACAAAGATTTTACTTTAACTGCTCGGGAATTACAGCTTTTTAGTTTTCACTTTTAGTTTTGCAGCATTAGGCTGAGTCTGAGCACAGCCCTGTACACATCACAGTTCATCCTGCTACTTCATCAATAAACACATCAAAAAATGACCTGGTTCCACTGGCAGACATTAGGCCCATGAGATAACACTACCTCCACCATGTCTGACAGATAATGTGGTAAGCTTCAGTTTGGTTTCCCTCTTTCTCCATACTTTCTACTTCTCATCATTCTGGTACAAGTTTATCTTGTTTCCACTTGTACAAAGAATTTCTTTCCAGACCTGAGCCAGCTCATTTAGATGATTTCTGGCAAAGTCTAATGTGGGCTTCCTGTTCTTGAGCATAATTTGTAGTTTGCATCTTGTACCAACTTTGTGTATTTACATTCATGAAGGCATCTGTTGATCACAGAACATGACAATGAGATGTCTACCACCCTCAGCTGCATGAGCCCTAAAGCTAAATCCAACATCACTCCTAGGTTTTGTGCTTATTGGCTTTGGGTAAAGATTTAGTTTAAGGATCAGTAGATTCAAGAAGACCATTCAGAACTTTTTTTTTTTTAAAGCTCCGTTACAAAACCATATCATTAAGATTCCCATATCCTTTTTTTAAAATAACACTCACACTTCCTGGTTTTCCCTCTCCATTTCCTCCTCATCCTCCTCCACGCAAGAGTCATCTACAATAATAAAAAGTCAAACATTTCAAACAGCCCTTTAATAATTGGGAAATTAAGTAATTATAAGCAAACTAGTCCTTTTCTTACCACTAACTTTGGTGCTACATGTGGAGTTACCCGCACGAGTAGCTTTCCTCTTAAGCATGGAGCGGCGCGAGGCACGGCGGACAGATTCCTGAGTCATACTGTGCCGCAGGCCAGCCAGAGAGTGACGTAGCTTCAGGGAGCACTGCACAGAGCTTCGCCTTGAGGTTTGAGCAGATTCAGCTATTGCAATCTTAGCAGCTGTACGGCCAGGAGAGGGCTCAGGCTCCTTTGCAAGCTCAGCAGACAAGCGGTCTGCATGAGAGATGCTGACAACGGCTTCAGGTAAGGGACTCTTAAGAGACTCAGGAGGTGTGGCGTTGCCAACTGTGTCATCTGGTTTGACTTTAGCATCATTCACCTCCTTATTTTCAACCACCACCACCTCCTCCTCCTCCTCCAGCATCTGCGTTTTGTTTTGCACTTCTTCAGCTTTATCGCTGTCATGAGGTGACTGGCTCTCATCATCTACCACCTCAGGCTTTGTCTGTTTGTTTCTGCGAGTGGTGCGTTTGAACGGTCCAGTACTGCTGGTGTCAGAGGTGGAGACCTCAGAAATGGGATCCTCTTTAGCAGTGAATTGCAGTGATTTAACAGAAGAGCCACGAAGGTTACTGCGCCTTCCCTTTGAGTATCTAAGCAGGAAAGGATAACGTATGAGTTACAAAAAAGGTACAGCACGCTTCAGACTGCCTTCACTAAAAACAGGAACTGATAAAACAAACCTTTGCTTTCCCTGATTTTCTTCTTGGCGACCCAAAGACACACGCTTCCTGCGACTGTTTTTCTTCTGTGACGGCGTTTTTGGCATCAACTCTGGTTCAGCATTAAAATCTCTGAAACAAAGAAAAGAAAGCACTCCATTAGAGAAAAATTAAACACATCTATCGAGTAGAGCTACATAGAAGAACATATTTATAGCCTACCTTGAGAACATGCGATTGGCTTCTTGTTGTATCTCCTCAAGCCAAACCATGTGGACATTATCGATTTCATCGATGATGTCTTGTGCTTTGCCACCTAACATCTGCGTGAGGGATCGCACTGCTAGTACAGGGTTCATGGTGACGACCTGAGGCACAAAAAGCCGACAGTTCTGAGATCACAAGAATAGTTAAGATCCAATTTACAGGGGTATAAAAAGACTCATTTTTATCTTTTTTTAGTGCCAAAATCAGCAGGGCTCTCCTAAAAATATGTCTTTTTTTTTTTTTAAGTGAGGTTAAATTGATATGGGGGGAAAATGTAATGTACTGAAGCTTCAGTACATTATCAAAGAGAGGAAAATGCAATTTTTCCAAATCATGCTTATGTACAGTCACCCCCCAAACACCAGTTTTGAACTGGGGGAAAATTGAAAACCTTTTTGCTATGATCTTGCTTTCTTTTCCCCCTTGCAGTGGAGCCCCTTCTCCCCTCTCCAAGCTTATGGATCAGCTGTTAAGAGTCACCTTAGTTTCAAGCAGCCCCACACGGAGCAACAGCTACAGTTTAGCTGAGAAAATAATTACTAATCTTAAAATTTTACCCATACCTTTTAAAGCATTAAATCACCTTATTCAAGGACTTATGAAGCCCTAATGTAGCTGGGGAATCTACTTAGTTCATTGAATGGGGCACCATCAGCGTTTGAAATGTCCTTTTCAAAATAGCTTATTGAAAATGTTTCATATGCAGCAATGTTTTGTTTTTTTAAATCCTTCTCATTGTCTCAATATTTTTTGCATTTCTTTTCTTTGTTCTTGTTTGTAGTGCTTTTGTTTTGATTTTTTTAAAATCAGTTTTAGGACGACATATTTAATTCCTTTATATGACACACCAATAAATAAAATGCACCAATATTATAATAAATGTCAATTGGTGAAAAATGGCTGGTCTGAGTATTTCAATAAACTGCAGATCTACTGAGATCTCCTAACATAGAAAGAAGAACAGAATAGCCTGAAAAAGAAAAATTATCTAGTGAGTGGCAGGTCTCTAGGTGACAATGCCTTGTTGATGCCAGAGGTTAGAAGAGGCTAGCCAGACTGGTTCAAGGTGATGGGAAGGCAAAGGTAACTCAAATAAACACTCATTACAATTACGACATGGGGAAAAAAAAAATTTTCTCAATGCCCAACTCATTCAGTGTTAAAGCAGATGCCGTACAACATCAGAAGACTACAGGGGGCCATTCCTGTCAGTTACAAAGAGGAAACAGAGGTGACACTTTCCACTGGATCACCACAAGTGGACAAAAGAAGACTGGAAAACCATTGCCTGATCAGATGAGTCAACAATTTCTGCTGCAACATTTGGATGATACAGTCAGAATCTTGTGAAAACAACTTGGAAGCACAAATCCATTGATGGTTCAGGCTGGTGAGGATATGGGGGATATTTTCTCGCCACACTTCACCCCGTTACCAGTTGCTTACAATTTCCATGCTTTTAAGGTCACAGTGTACTCCTCTTCTGACAGTGGTCACAAAGCTAAATTCATCTTAAACTTGTTTCTTGCACATGACAGTGAGTTCACTGCACTCAAACGGCCAAACAAGCAACAGATCTCAAACCTGTAGAGCATCTTAGTGATGTTGCTGAAGAGGAAATTCACATCATGGATCTGCAGCACCTGTGTTATGCTTTGAAGTCAGTGTGGACCAAGCTCTCTCAGCAATGTTTACAGCATCTTGTTAAATCTATGCTATATAAAAAAAAATTAAGGCAGCTCTGGGGGCAAACGTGGGTCCATCCCAGTACTAGCAAGATGTACCTAACAAAGTGGCCACTGAATGTAAGTATTACACGGGTAATAACCGAACCAAATGTGCTTAAAAAGAAACCCCGGAGTTCCTTTAAAAGGATTAACGCACTAACCATTTTTTCATCTCAATAACCAATATCTATCCATCTATCCATCTATCGTTCCTGTTAAAAACTGTTTTATAGAATAAAACGTTTTACAATAAGACTTTAACCTTTGGACAGCTGTGCAAAGAATACAAGTAATATTAGACTAACTAATGTGTGGGATTTCCTGATAACGTATACTAAACTTGAACAGTGCAGTTTTCCACTTCCGCGACTACACTATATGACAATTAAGGTCGGTGGGTATTTAACAGTGTTGTCGACCAAGAGATTTGTTTTTAATATCTTATTGCAAACCTGGCATGTTGAGATACCATAAAAATAGCATCATTACATGAGCTAAATATTCCAAAAGCACTGAATAATGTATTGAAGCGAACAAAATTAACATTGCCCAACGTTTTCAAATGAACAAGCTAGGTTAGCTAACACAAGACACTTAAGACAGTGCACGCATATTATTTTAAATACTACTGTAAGACTGTTGCAACAGTAATTTTAAGACACATCCGCATAATATAACACATCTTTATCGCGTTTTACTGATAGCTGCTCTGCCGTGTCCTAAAAGTACCACGTTTGCCAGCTAACGTTGATGACCTTAGCTAACATTGTCTATAATGTCAAAATATTTACCTTTGATGTTCACTTTTCTGACGGCTCGTTCTTTTAAAAAGCTACATCAATTGTATACTTGCGTAAAAGACAAATTTGCTAAAACGAGGAGCTTCCCACTTTAATGAATACCCAAGAAGACAACAGCGACCCTACAAACTGTCCCGCTGAAACCGTTTATAACTTGTTCAAACCTCTCCAGCCAATCATGAAGCGCTGTGTCCCCGGGAGGCGTTCGATTTGTGGATTGGAATATTTGGATGGGCGGAGCTCACCCCGGTCAGAATAGCTGGGGATGAGGCGGAGTGCCGAAATTCGTGACACGAGAACTCAAATCGTGCGAACCCGAGCAGACGTTCAAGGCGGAGTTACTGCGCTGCCCAGATTTAAATGGACCAATCGGAGATCTGTCGTGGTCCGCCCCTCCAGCACTCAAACATGCAGGAATGACAGTGCAATATAACCAAAGTGGACCAGTTTAGAGAAATGTATTTTATTCTTTGTTTCGTTCTTTTTTCTTTTTATTATTTAAAATCACGCTTGGAAACTGTGGGTTTAGAGTTCGGCTGGCTCTTATTAGTAAACATCTGGATGGAAAGTGTGGATGTGCTCATTATCAGAAAAACCTAAGACTCTAGATGGTGTTGGATTATATAATAGTTTACCACAAGGGATTTGACGATTAAAGGGTAGAGGGTCGCAAGCACACACAACACAAGCACTCTAGTGTGCCTAAATCAAGAAGACGACACAATTGTATTTCAAGTAAACAGTGATGACCTTCCTCTGGATTTTTCCCCCCCTGCAGACAGAAATAGTTTTCTCCTGTCAGGAAGCAAAGCTACAGGATGCTTGAAGTCATGAATCTTACAAAGGTCGTGGTAGTCTGTAAGTCAAAGTAAACAGAAATGCATTGTGTATATACTCTTGTGCCCTCATCCTTCCAGTCATAAATAAAAGTCTATAATGCATTTTAATTATTGTAAGTTGTTTAGTGTTTTGCTTTTTTGCATGGCATATCTAACTACAACTCTAATCATCTAACAGTCACCATTAAAAAGTGTGGATGTGCTTAGTGTCAGGCAAATTAACATAGTTCACTAAAACTTACTCCCTAAATTAGTCTTTTCTTAATGTAGTCAAAGGAGATGGTGCAAGTATTCATTATCCCCAAGTAGAGAGACACTAGGGAGTGTCACAATATTTTACACGGTGATAATGTATCAATACAAAGACACCAAATATCTATATCTCTTCAAATAAATTAAAATACTCTTCAAACACTGCAGAAAGGAGGGCCCTTTTCACGCACCACATCTCCTGAGGAACCTTGGAAGAGCAAATTTACATTAAATCAGTTAAACAAAACAACATCCTACACTTTATACACTTAGTTTGACCAGTCTATCTCCTAATTCAAGGTATTGGCTTGGTCACATGAGTGAAAATTAAACACCAACCTCCTTAAACCTATAAAAGAAATTGATGGCTGGTGATTTGTTTAATTTGATCACATTATGCATTCCTGCAAACAACTGCAGTCTGAGTTGGACTGACTGCAATCACTGTCAGACAGATTGCTGAAGGTCTGCAAATAATTGCTGTCTAATTTATAAATGCAGACAGATGGCGAACATGTTGCCATCAGTCTCCAGATGTCTGAGTCTTGATTAACAAACAAACTCGAGGGGACTCGACTCAACTGGCTGCCAGCGGCTTGTATTCTGCTAATACTCCAGTTGGTAAATCACAGTAAATGTTACTGCAATACTCTGCATATGACAAAATGTTTAAAATTGCTATAGTATCATATCATGAGTTAAATCAAGTGATAATATTGTTACAATGCGGTGCCTGGTGAGTCCCATCTTGATCAAGGACAATTAGCATACATAAAATATAAAAAATATACAAAGATTAAACTCAAATGTCAAAGCTGCTCTGAACTAAAGTGAAAGGAAGAGATTCAAAACTAAAACAAAAACACTAAATAAAAATACGTAATTATAATAACTCTGATAATCATATTTCCTTTGACATCACAAACTTCAATAACTCAGTAATTTAGACTCAAAGTTTCTCTGTATTTTTTTAATTAACTTTAAAAGTCCACAAATATTACACAAATCCATCAGTGTAGTATTTGTTGCCCTGCTCAGATCCGTAGCTGCTGGGGGACTTAAATTAATACTGCCCTTCTTTATTCCATACATTTAGTAAATCAAGCAAAATATAATAAAAACAAATAATATGCTTTCAAATGTCAGCATGTGAAATGTTTTGGAGGATCGGTGCTCAGGTTTCAGAAAGGCCAGCAGGAAGCAGCTGAAATCAGTTTGCAAACGTATCCGGGCTCTCGAGGGAAAGTTACCGGCTGCCCTGAAAATATAGACGTATACAAGTTTGGATCAGGTTCAGGTATGCACACCGGTTTCAAATCTTTTTCTGGCAGGCTATGCTTTTGAGTTCATGCCCCACACAGTATTTTTTGACATCACTTCCAGCCTAGATAAGGTAAGCTGGAGAAGATCACAGTCTTGAAGTTTTTTTCCCTGATTATGAGATTCATATGTTTTTCACTTCTATCAATATTGTGTCCCCATATAAACAGTTAAATGATCATTTCTTTTTGCTATACTGTGAGACGTGTTTGTTTCTTATTAACACAGAAACTATCAAATTATCTTCATGAATAAAACTTTCTCTGAAGAGCTGCATGTTCGAACTGCATGTTTGAACTTGTGCTTTACCTGGTGTGAGGGGGATTTTAGTTCCTGATGCCTTCAGGACAACTTGTAAATTACAGGGCTTAGTGTTGCCTGGACTGCCTTCCTGTTCCCTCAGTATGATACAGACTTCTTCCTTCCTCAGCAGCCAGTCCATCTGGCTGCCCAGGTAGTTCACACCACGGACACAAAGCTCGCAGACGTCGTTGGGAAGCAGTGACGAGAATGCCAGGCAGTCCTTCTGAACTCTAGGATATAAAACAAGTATGTGAAGCTTTGTATCACTGTGAACACACTGTGGACTGAACACACCGAAGTGTTTATTTCCTGGATTAAGAACTAACCTAAAACCGGTGTAGCCAAACAGCACAGCTTGCAGAAATCCTCCCATACCTGTGAGAAAGTTGACTGCACCGGAGCCATCGGATGATTCACTCCATACCTGCGAGGAAAGGTAATCAATCTTTCACCCAGTAAATGTCAGGTGTGTGTTTATGTGGATGTGTGAGCCAAAGGGTACCTGGAACGGGCCCTGGATGTTGTTGAAGCACTTTTCAAGTAAAAGCTGAGCTTTCTCAGCCTCCCCGAGCTCCAGCCAGCCGATTGCAAACATCCCCTGAAAAAGGAAAGTAAAAAGTTTTGATTCAAATATGAACACAAAAGTCAGTCACTGCACCACACTGAGAAGTAAGACTTCTTATTAAGTACATTAAGTACTGATTTGGATCCTCTTTTGTCTTAATAACTACTTTAACCTCCTAAGACCCAAACTCTTTCATGGCATGCATTTTTAATTTCTTTCTGCTATTGGGACAAAATATGATGTCCACATATGTGAATGTCAGGTCCAAGGAGGTTAATTCTTGTTGACACAGATTCAACAAACCTCAAATTTAGTTCATTCAGCAGTTTCATGTGACCATAGAGGATGCTGTGTCTTTCATACCCATGTCATGGCTGGACCGTGAGGGTCTGTCACTGGCTCGTATGCTTCAAGGTCATTCCTTCTAACCTCTGGGGACATCGGCAATCCAAGAGGATATCCCAGCATCACTGTGTCCGCCTGCTTCACGGGATGCCCTGTTTGTCACCCAGAGGATATTCTAGCATCAAGTTAAGAATATTTAAGGTTCTTTCTTAACAGAAACAAATATTAACCTTTAATGTAGCCGTCGTACTCAGGGTGGTACTGATGCTCTTCGTCAAAAGGTATCTTAATGTATTCGGCCACTGCTTGCCATTCCTTGGGCGCAGGGTGCTGAAGGAGTTCAGCCAGTTCAACAGCAAACTGAAGACTGAAGACAAATAAGATATTTTCATTATTACTGGTATTGATAAGACATAAGTTATAAGGTGTTATAGTTATAAGTTTAATCTTGAATACAAATACCCAAGCTTGGCCACTGTGTTTGTGTACACAGAGTCATTGACATTGTAGTAATATTCATCGGGTGGCATGACACCTGAATGGAAACAACATGAAGTTAACGTTCAATATAAAATAAACCAAAGTGTGAGTCAGATCCTTTCATTAAAGCGGGTAACTGATGCACTGAATTTATTTGGCGTGACGAGGTTGAGTACCATCTAGGTGATATTTCTGGTCCTCGGGCTTCCAGGTTACCCTTGAAACCCAGTAATCAGCCACACCATAGATGACCTCGCTGCCCAGTCCCTCTCTGAACATGGACAGATCCTAAAGCAAAGAGCTAGATTAACGACGCCAGGTAGGAGCGACAGTGAGTGGGGATGTGAACGAGCATACCTCGGTGAGGTAGAGATAGTGCTGGAAAGCCAATGTGACATCTCCGTTGATGTGAATCTCTTGTTGTCCATAAATGTCCTCTGGACACACCTCTCTCCCTGACACAGCACTCTCCCACGGGAACTTTAGACCCTGTAAAACAGCATATTTCTTTAGAAGACTCAGACTCTGTTTGATTGTTATTATTAAAAAGTAAAGACGGACCTACAGAGAGTCAAATATATGGCTCTACAATAGCATACAGCAGATACTAACTGTGCAGATGTACAGAAAATATTACAACCACTACGGTCTCAGGTGTTCATGCAGCTGTATTCTCATGCCAAGTTCATCTTTATTCTAGGATTTTCATTATTATATCCCAGTTGTTACTCTTACTCTCAGAATATGCTACACAGTTAAACAAAACAAAAACAAACTGCAAGAAAAAAAGGATTATAAGAGAACATGGATTTTCCACTAAATATGGGCACTGTGAATGCACCAGGACACGCAACAGCTATTACGATCATAATCTCTTTCCAAGTAAGTGATGGAAGGATACCAGGTTTCAACAGAGTCGTCCTGTTTATCTTTTACAGTATATCTGATTTTACAGTTGAATCCGTCGTTTCTGCCTCACTGTTGTACCCACTGCTTGTTTTTTTTGTTGTTGTTTTTTTTACAATCTAACACTGAGTTATTTGCCTGAAATTCCTCAGAAACTCTTAATAGTATTAAGATTTGCTCTGGTTCTGAGTAGTTTTGATATTACAGATTATATGTCCAACCTGTAGTATTGCTTATACAACATCCTTGCAGGTAACTGTGAAAGTATTCAGAAGGTTAATATGTCACATCCTATATTAAAAAAAGCACAACATTTGAAAAAATGTCTTAATGGACTTTATTGTGAATATCTGCACAGGAATATTAATTCCACTGTGTCAGGAATGTGTTTTAAGACCTCCGCCTGGGAGCCTCTAAAACTGAACAACGAACATGTTGGATGTTATTGTTTAGTCCATAACCAAAGATTTAGAGAGTTTGGTTGGGTGGAAACTGTGTAAATCTACCAAATGGAATCACCACTGTTGGTGGAAACTAATATTAACACGAATAACTTGACTGTTTAACCAACATTAAACAATGGTTGAACAGCTAAACCCAGCCAAAACAGAACTTTATTATTTACTTTACTGTGTTCTGATGTACCACCACATCATGAGTGCGTTTGTGTGTTGATCTGTGTAGCCAGTACTGTTTTCAGAGTTGAACAGGAAAAAAAACAGTAGAAACAAAAAACAAAAACACTCCACCGATCGTCTTATACCTTGTAGCCTTGCTTTTGGGCGTTGTCTTTAGCACCATCTATGGTCCCCACCCTGTACTCCAGCACAGCTCGGGCTAGTTTCGGATAAAAAAGGGCTATCCCGGGATACATCCAGATGTCCTGCCACAGGAAGGAAGAATCATTGTGTGACACAACATATAACAGAATCAACAACACATGGCCATTGGCTGAATCTAGCCTCACTTGGTCCCAGAAAACATGGCCCCAGTAGTCCTGGCCTTCTCCACCATTAGAGAGCCCTCCTGGACTGACTCCACCAAAAGAGCTGGAGGTGTCATGTATGGACGGGAAAGCGCTGAGGAGGTAGAACATGCAGCCAATCAGGGCCTTGCAGAGGCTCTCAGACCCTGTCACCTCCACTTTGCTCTGCAGCCACAGCTCTTGCCAGGCCTTCTCGTGAGATGGACGCAGACTACCAGTTGCCATCAGATTCAGGCCCTCATCAAAACTGGCCTCAGCCAAGTCTAAACTGCTGGCTGCAACCAGGATGAAACCCCAGCGAGCCTCGCTGTGCTCGGCAGGGAGCATCAGAGTCACGGGCACGGGGGTCCAGATGAGGTGCACAGTAGGACAAGAACCTCCAGGGTACTCAGCTGTGGTTGTCTGTCCCTGGATGTGGCTGAGAGAGGGCTGGATTTAGATTGTGCAACAGTTTTTCCTTTTACTAAAAAAAATGTTGTTAGCCTCACCTGCCTCCTCTGTAATCAGGACCGGTCTCAAACCTGATGTCTTTGCTTTGAGGTGTGAATGAGCTGACCAGCTTAACCGTGACAGGCTCCTGTGAGGTCGCCTGACGCTCCAGCAGGATCTCCATCACCATCAGGTTGGGATAGTGTCGGTGAGAGTACAAAGACTGTGTGGCAGTGGCGCTAGCGGAGCTCAGAGTGTGAATAAAAATGCCTGCACAAGAACAGGAGAGAGAAGTATGAGACCAGATCGGCAACAACACCATTGAGAAAACACCTGCACAGGAGAGTCTACCTTTGTGGGTGTCCAGGCTGTAGGTGTGTTGGACAGGTTCCTCTAGCTCCACCTTAACAGCTAGAGGGCAGGGGACATCTGCTCTGTGGCAGCGCCCGCCCTCCCCGTTATAAACGCCCCCCATGTGCATGATATTATTGTACACCCTCCAGCCCAGGTGGCCATTCGCAAGCGGAGGGAGGAAGCGGAGGTTACTAGGGAGGGTGTCGGTGGTGAAGATGTAAGGGTCCGAATCACAGGACATGATGAGGAGATTACCTTCACTTTAAGGGCTCAAATCAAACCAAGAAGTCAGGAAGTTTTCACCTAAATGATAAAAATGTTTGATTTGGAGTGAAAAACCATTAAGATTAATAATGCAAACATAAGACTGTAGATCTCAAATGCTTTTTTCCTCTGTGGACCTGGACCCTCTATTTTTCACAGGTTCACGTTAGTAAGACCATTTGCAGAGTGTAGACTTTGACACTTATGTGTCACAAGCCATGCCTAAATATAACCATAAGATGTGTCATGCAGACACTGGTTGAAATTTAGCAACGCAAAAACAAAAATACACAAATAAAGATAAAATGTCCCCTTATCAAGTAAAATCATGGTTTCAAACACATTAAAGTTAAAGCGCTGTCGCTGCTGCCAGCAGCATGCACAAACACGTACAGTAAGTCCTTAAACTCATTACTTAATATTAAGCGGGAATGTTTTATTCTCACGTGAGAAGGAAGAAGCATCTGTTTCTGTAACAAAGAAGAATGCAGGAAAACCAAAGTCCAGGCGAGACCCGGACGAGATCCCAAACCGCTTGTTCTTTAGGGCTCAACTCATGAAACGAAACAAAACAAAAACAAACAAAACAAACCCAAAACTTTATGTGCTTTTATTTGTTCGAGATTTCATATCTAGTGCACTCGAAAGTTGCTGATGAAGTAGCTCTAACTCGTTTGTAGGAGGAGACCTGTGTCGTGCAGCACAGAAAATCTGGATTTAGTTCAGGTCTCATGTAAAACATGGGCTGGATTAACTGTGGAGTTTAAAGTCAGTCAGTTAATTAAATCCAGATGCTCTGTTAAAAACAGCATGCCCTTTCCGTGTTACTGGCGATGTCAGGTGCACTTTTCATGTTGTGCATAAAAGCAAGACATTAATGTAAACTTTATTTAAATGTTGATAGTTTAATGAGACCGGTTATGTCACAGGCTCAAATGGCTGCTATCTTATCCGTACATATATCCAATTAAATCAGCAGCACACTCTTCAGGCCACACAGTAACACTGTTTATTGTCGGTCTGTTCCCCAGAGGCATCACGTCACTTTCTCCAAATTAAAGCTCCTCATTTTCCCATCAGCTCCACAGTCACACTAAAAGTTTTCTCTTTGCTTTAGCAGTCAGACTTAGATGCATTGTCCTCGTTCGGATTTTCTAAACACAACATTTTCAGTTATATTTATGTTATAATTAACTAATTAATAAAAGCTCCAAAGATAAAGATCACCATCGTATTTTCCGTTATTGCATTTTTAAGCTTTCCAGTGCTGCACCTGTCCTCCTGTGGGCTGTGGGAAAAATAGATAAGGTAGATAAAACGTAGGGCTCTATGAATGCGTGCTTAAAGTAGCTTGTAGTCTGAAGTCCTTTGTTTGGACAGTAAGACTAGAAAAGCGCCAGTCCTCTGTCAGTACCAGCCACATACATTGAACCCCTCAAATAGAGTGTAAGGCTAAATACGAGGTATCCTGTGAAGTTTTTGATCGCTGGCTCTAGGACAACACTTTTATGAGTGTCCCTGTTTCGTTTGTATCGTGTGAGGACACCAGGACATCAGAGCACGTGGGCAGCTTGAGTCACATCCTGCTGTTACTTTGCTTTTATTCACTAACGCATAAAAAAAACTTTCGTTTCAGTTTGTGGAATAAATGAGCAGAAATATAACATTAGTTTCTTGGGGTCTAACATCACTCTAATAAAACGCCCTACTCAAGCACAAACACGCATTGAACACCTTTTTTTCCCCTAAGTAAGTATATTTCAAAAGGTGCTATGGACATGAAATTCTTACCAGATGTGGTAGCAACCCATCCAATCTACATACAAAAAGAAATAAAGCCATAGATGTCCATGAAACAAATTATGTGCCAGTTATTTAATGGCAAGCCTATTTGTTGAAATGTCACTGCATCAGTTTTTATCATAAAGCTCAACTTAGATAAATCATAGAAAGAACTCTACAGTATTGTTCTGGACTGGGTGACCTCTTGCAGATATCCCCAGTAGTGTCAACCCAGTGTCCAGACCTGTGAATTTGCCCCTCCCTGCTGCCGTGACTGATTCAGATAAAGAGGTAAACGATGCGTTTTGATTTGGCAAGTCACACAACTTCAGATTTTTGACATCAGCAGTCATTTAACAAACAGAGGAGATGATGCTGGAGCTGTCGGCTCTGATGTTCTTTGGTGAATGCCGATTGATCTGCATGGTGCTGCACAGGTCCCACTGAAGGAGTTTTTCTAATCTAAAAGTCTCTGAATCTGCTCTTCCCATTCCTCCTGGCAGATGCGGGATTGATGCCCTCAGTTCTGTCCAGGTATCCTCATGTAACGGCCCATCTCAAGATTTCTGCTCCGCACTCTTGAGTATGTGCTGGTGCGTCATTCACGTTCCACAGGAACAGCTTTAACTTCTTATCTGCATCAGGTTTATGAGCCATAAGTTATTCTCTGCGCCACAAGTGTTTAATCTCTGCAGATTTATTCTCTGTGTGCACCTTGGAAAAGATGAAGATGTGCCAGAGGTCTGCTGTGTTTCAACAAGCTCAACTATCTTGGGACTGATAGTCAGGGTGTCGCCACATCTACTGATTCGGTTTGGAGACAGTGTGTGTTTTGCGAGCCCCAAATTTATGTGCTTATAATTGATGACTCAATGGATTCATTGATTTACAGGAGAAAATCTTTAGTTAGAAACATATTCTCTGTATACAGGTCAGTCTGTTAGGGTCAGGTCAGTCACGCTTGCACACTAAAAGTGAATCCAAAGTAAGATTTGGAATACCGAAGCCACCATAAAGCTGTTGCCAATTCGGTTTGGGTCTTAAAGTGTATGCTGCCAAAATATCCAGTTAACCAGTTACTGAGAGAAAATGGCCAAACAATCAACCTGAAAATTTTGGTCTGTTGCCTGTTTTATTTGATGTTGATCTTGGCTTTACTTCCCCGATTACAAAAGCATTGTCTCAGATTTATTTTTATTGCCGAGTCCAGAAAACAAACTATAGAAATAAAAATCAAATCAATTGTTGACCGTCAGCTGACATGCAGCATTGCATTACTCGCACCTCTCGGTGGCGCCAGGGAGCTGCCCGTGCAGCATCTGGCATCATGCCGGGGGTCAGAGCCACAAACCCTGGGAAAAGCAGTGCTTTGTCCATATAAGGCTGCAATCCATCCGCTTCCCTCTTCCTCCCCAGTTCCCTTCCTCTCTCTTTCTCAGACCTGAGGGATATTTAGAGAGAGCGCCTCAGCCAGCCTGCCCTTCCTTATTAGGAGCTCAGCTTGTTGTCAGAGGTTCTAGCCTGCAGGACAGTGGTCCATCTTTCTACTCTCAGATGAGACAAACAGATGGATGGCTCGTGTTAACTACACTTTACTGCAAGTGGGAAAGAAACACTGGGACTCGCACAACTTCACCCATATGTCTGAGCACTCCAGCATATGTAATGACACCAGCTTCTATCATGTCAAGTAGCTCTTGATGTATTGTCCACCTGGGAGCAGAAGCAGATTAATGCAGCAGCACAAACATACTTTAAATACATCTGTGTTGGACTGTTTCCTCTTTTAGGCCTCTTGGTGTGTTACAGCTGTTCAGTTTCTCTCTTTTTTCCCCCCAGTGACAGAGGACATCTGGCTACCAGCAGACAGACTAACAGACACCGTGCACATGGATGATACAGTATAGTGTGGGAAAACAGAGCTAAACGCAAACAAACAGGTGACCGCAAAACATAAAAGTGAGCCACTCAATGACTAGAGTTACAAAAGAGGCAGGAATCCATCTGGGAACTGAGTGTTGTGTACACTGATAAGACAGTCAGCTTGAACAGAGGTGGATAATAACCAAGCATTTGCTACAAACACACTTTTATTAGGGTGCAGACATCCATTTAATATATTAGAAAACCAACATGTGAAGCAAGGCTACATGGAATTTTACTTCAAAGGGGTATTGTTCAAGGCTAACATTTATACACAGACTGTACATAACCATGCTCCTTTGTCAGAGGAATTGATGCCGAAAAATTATGAAAATATTTAATCCAATGACAACCAAAAACCACTCACAGCATAATAGGATGTGCAATGACCTCTGATATTCACCCATTGGTAATTTCTAACTCTACTTGCTTAAAGGCAAGCAGTCGTGAGGTGGTAAACTGAAACGTTTTCTGTCTGGAGGACGGGCAAAGCCTCGCAGATCTTTAGCGCTTTGCAGAGAATAAAGTGCTGCGGTCGACCGACCGGTCAGTTTTTGTGTGTGTGCTTTTCTTTTTTTGTTTTTAAGAGCATGGAGTGTATCTGTGGTCACAAAAATATAAAAATGATGTGGGGAAGTGCATAGGTGGAGAGGTAGGTGGCTTCAAACACTTGCACATGGAAAGACAACAACCCAACAGACCTTCACGGATGACTCCCGTTGTCAGGATGACGCTGAATGTTTAAACAAGAAAAAAGAAAGAAAAAAAAAAAAAAGTAGGATGCACCGAAATCTTTCTTGCCTGACAACACATTACATTTGGACTGCGAGTAGGATGAGGGGATTGGGGGGGGATGAAATAAAAATAAATTGTGAATGTGTGTTGTGAGATGTGTTCACAAAAATAAATACTAACTGGGAACTTTAAGGCCCAGACTGTCTTGTGTGCATCGAGGAAGTACGGATAGGAGTGCACAGGAGTGCGTTGGCGCTCACCATGACGCACAGTTTTGCGTGTTGCACCAGACACAGAGTGTTCTGGCTGTTGTCGGGTATCATGATGCTACTGTGGAAGCCTCTGGCCGGTCTTTGCTGTGACTATCCGGCATTAAGGCACACAAAAGACACTCCAGCTGTTCGCATAGAAGCACCACAATCCAAGTCATGCTGTAGTGCTCATGTACGAAGGACTTTCTGCTGCTTCTCTCCCCTTCTCTCTCTCTCGCTCTCTCTTTGGCACTGGGAGGAATGTATGGCAGGGAGTGATGGATGGATAGGTGGGTGGAGGGAGGCGGGGGGATCCCTGCTCTTCATGTCACTCTCTCTCCCTGCATCTATTTGGAGAGTTTGCTGATGACACGGATGAGTGCTCCATTTTCATCTTTAAGGCGCTGGTTGTCTGCCTTCAGGTCAACCAAAACCTGGTGGTAAAGATTAAACTCACTTTAAAACAAATTCTTTACACAATATAAATGCAGCTTTTATTTTACATTTGTCGTGGTCACATTACTGGATCAATGAGCTGTTGGATGTTAAGAGATTAATGCAGTCAACAGGTTTGTGACTCTGAAGCAAAACCCATAAAGCTTCTTTCCCAGGAGTCGCAGCGGCAGATGGATCTGCACAGATTTGACGTCGGATGCCCTTCCTTCCTGGCACAACCTTCCCAGGGTTTTCCATCTCCTCCCAGTCTTGAACCGCAGATTCGCATTAGGCGAATGTGTTAATCTGCACTGTAGAGCCAAAAACTATGCACAATATAAATTTGTCCAATCTCCCCTACAAGGTCATCTCCATCTCACCGTCCTGCTATTTTTACATCTCTCTCTCGCTCCCTCTCTGGAAGTCAAGCTGACCTCACTTTCACGTCGAGGGATCAGAACTGGGTCTCTGGCTCTGAAGTCCACAGTGTCTAAGCCCAAAGGCAATGCCTGAGGTCAGGAGCACAAATGGAAGAAAGCTAGTGGTTTATTTTTTGACATTCATGGGCTGAGCAGTGAATTTGTCCCCCATGGTCGGGTTGTCAGCATAAAGTTCCGCTGTAACATCCTGAGGTGTTGGAGAGAGGACCTCTGCCCTCGTGTGCTGCCTCACAGTGCATTGAAGGCTTATTTATTTTGGCCTCTGCCCAACAACCAGCCCAACTTGCCAGATTTTTGCTTTCTGCAGCTTCATCCTCTTCCCATAAAATGAATTTAAAGTTGTAGGATTGCCATTTTGTCAAGGCTTTCCATCACAGATGAAAACGTGGTTGAAATGAGATATCCAAGAAGTGATTTTGAAAAACAAAAAAAGCAAACAACAACAAAAACAAAGGCCCTGGGAGCTGTTTGGCCGTACACAACACCTTGAAGAGGAGAGGAGCCTAAATTTATTCGAGTATAGCTTTTGCAGTTTTTTCCAGCAGGCACTGTGACCCACTGTAGCAAAATCAGCACATGAAACTAAACCACATCATTAATGACTTTGCCATTAACTTCTAAATCAGCAAGCTCAATATAAAGAACCAGTAAACAGCACTTCCTAAAGTAAAGTAACAGCTATCAGTGTAGTTATGTGTGCTTTGTTTGTCTGATTAACTACAGGGAACAAAAAGGCTGATATAGATAACAGTGCCATTTAGTATTTCTACTTTTACATTAACAGTACAGAGAATTGACATCCTGTTGATAGGCTGGTTATTAATAAGTCAACAACTCCTTTTAAACCAAAGGGTTGATTATAAATTGCTGCCTTAGCCTCCAAGCCATCAGATGTGTGATATATATATATCAGGTGTGGATAAACTAAGCATTTACATGTTACATGTTGCTCCGTCTACAGTTCAGTGAGGCTTTGAATATCAGAAGTGGAACTAATAAACCAACTTGATAGCAGAGAACGAAAAAAAAGAAAAAAGACAATAGATTCAAACCTGGATCCAAAGAGCTCATTGAATTTGAGTGTGATACTGTAATAAGATGTAACTGTTGCAACAGTCTCTTGTGTCCCTTCTTCTTTTCTAAATATTCCACAGCAACCTGTAAGTGGAATTACTAGAAAGTGGAAGTTTTAGCCACAAAGTTGCCGAGTCATAAACCCGTCTGCAGACTAAATAACTGCAGAGCTCCAAACCTCCGCTGGCATTAACATCAGCACAAAAAACTGTGTGCTTTCATGGCCCAGCAGCTATGTAGGTAATGTGTAGGTGGCCCAGTACTTTTTTATATATTGCACATAACTAAACACTGGATATACAGGGAAGCAGCGAGCCTGCCTCAGTCAGGTTACAAAACTAAATATCATCTTGTTTATTTGATGTTTTAGAGTGGGCGACACGATGAGCTTTGCTTTTTTTTTACCTTACTGATCCATTTAGCTTTTAGCATTTTTAGTTATTGATTTATAAATAGAACTATTCTGTTAAAAGCCATGCTTAATCATTTGTCTGCTGTTACACAGAAGTTTATTATCTTTCGAGAAGGCAACAAAATAACTCATTCTGTTCAGAGTCACAATGGAGACCGCAGAGACATAAGATGCCTCAAGTTGCTAAGCAACTAAATGAAGAAATTGGCTCCAACAGACACCACCCTCGTCACACCACCTGGACACGGTGCAAAACAGCTCTCTACCTTGTGCTCTCACCACACTGCTGGACAGCACAAGCGAAAGCCAAGCTAATCGAGCAGAAGCATGCAAAAGTGCCCGTGGGCATGATAAGAGTTGTTCTCAACATCTTCTCACCTTTAGCTCCTCCTCCAGCTCCGCCATTCGCCGCTCCAACATCCTTCGATCCTGGCGCCAGGGAAAATACGACGTGGGAGGGTGGGGAGCAGGTAGAGAGAGAAAAAGAGAGAGTGACGTAGAAGGAGCACAAAAGTTGAGCGAAAACAAGTGAGGAAGTGGTTTGAGTGAGTAGAGAATAGAAAGCGTCAACAGACAGCAGGAGTGGCTGTAGTGTGGCAGATGAAGCGAAAACACAGCAAGTAACATCATTAGCAAGGGATGCATTACCTTCCTCTCCCGCTCCAGCAGGGCTGAACAGTCGGTCAGACGCTCCTGTCTCTGTTGAATACAATAAACCACGTTTACATAACCCGCACTGGTATTTTTACATGATCACATGCAGGCCTGTATGCAAAAAGACATCAAAAAGGTACACCCTGGAACCATGGACACAATAAGCCTGCATGTGAAACTGGGAGCTCACTGCTAGTGGTAGCAATCCAGAATTGTATTTGAATTCTGCTTCCTTACACGTCCTGAGGATCTGGCCCCGTACAGAGCATTTAACTGTCACAGTGCAGGCTTACAAGTGATTTACTAGAGTTTTCAAAAGTAGAATAAGAGGCAGAGCCTTCAGCATTCAGGCACCGCACCTGTGGAACCAGCTCCCAGTTTAAGTTCAGGAGACAGATTACTTTTTTTTTTTCAGAAAACTTAAAGTTGCAACAGGATTAGGTGAACTTGAACAGAACTCTCTCGTAGGTTCAGGCTGCTGGACTACACATCACTACTGCCATTAACATTTGTCTTCTCTCTCCTGTAGTTTGTGCTTTGCACTGTTTTTCCCCCCTCTATGCTCTCCTTTCATCGACCAGTCATGGTAGACTGATTCTGCTGGACTTCTCTTGCTGTTAAAAGGAAGTCCTTCCATCCCACTGTTGCCAAGACCCTAATCACAAGGGCTCATCAATGGGGGCTCTCTGTCTAATATTTTAAGGACTTTAAATTTACAAAACAAAAACCATAGTTGTCAATTGGTGCTATATAGATCAATTTTAATTAGGGAAAAAAATGTAAAAAAAAATTACTAAATAAATAAAAATTAAAAAAATCCAAATTCTAAGAACCTTTTTAATCTAGTAGCTAGTAGTAATCTCACTTTCCCCTCATCTGGGTAGAGCATTTGAAGGGTTGCTTACGGATCACTGACTGTACAATACACTCCCATTGGAGAATACAAAAAAAAAAAAATGCAGAAGGTATGAAACCAGAATTCAAATGCAGTCGAAGGCTTAAAACAAAGGGAACATTATATGGGTTTCTATATTTAGCAATAGTATTTGAAATGAGGTTGAAAAAAATCATAAGCAGTAACAAAGAACCTGCCCTACTAGTTCCACCACTATGAGTTTCTTGCTTTGACTCTGCGTGGTGAAAGACGACAAGACCAGTTTCTGTTTGACTTTTTGTGCGTATTTGTTGTCACCTGCGTGGCCTTTTCCAGATCCAACCTGGTCTGAGTGACACTCCTCTGAGTGTCCTGGAGCTGTGACTGGAGCTGGCTGTTTTGTCTGGAAACCTCCTCAAACAACTGACAAACACCACACACACACACACACACACACACACACACACACACACACACACACACACACACACACACGCAATGAAGAGTTAGGACAAATAAGGCAAATGTATCGCATGCTCTCAACAGCGATACATTTGCTGTCGGTTCACCTTCTTAAAGTCCTTCGTCTCAGATCCTCCTCCCCGTGTACGGTCGCTATAGGATGAGTCCGACCTGGTTATATGAAAACAAAAAGGTCATCCACACTGTGAATGGAGAAAATTCAGATCAATCAAAAGTGGGATTCATACCTGGAACTCAAACGTTGGTCTGTCTGTAAACAAGAGGGGGGGAAAGCAAATACTTTACAGCTCTTTTCTTAAGTTACATTCTAATGAGATCACAAACAAGAGTTCACGCAGACCTGTGAATTGAGCCCACTGGTGGAAAACTCTTCCTCTCCACTGGGATCATTGTCTTCACCCTGCAGACGACACAGACAGAACAAAAGGTTCTTACAGACATTGGCCCACAACAATCTACTAACTTTGTGTTGCACTCCGTCTCAGTTTTTTGCAAAACACTGGGAAATGCCTAAAGGCTGCCGTGTGGTGGGACACACTACTGGAGTACAGAACCAACACTTATGCAAGCTCCCGAACCAAAAAACAGAGACGGACGGGAGTTAAAGGTGGTTAAGATGAGACGCATGAGCAGAAATATTACAGTACTGTGCAGAAGTCTTAAGCCACCCCAGATTTCTTTATATGTTGGTAGGAAAGTGGTAAATAAATGGCATCAATTTACTGTCCAATTTCTGCTATTTTTTTTTTTTTTTTAAAAAGAACACACTTCACACAGTACTGACCTATGCCAAAGTTTGAACCAGTAGCTCTTTGGAAATCAACAAACAATAACATTCCTTTCAACATGGTCAGGTACAAGGACTGGACTGGACTTGAATGAGTGAAAAAATAAGCCAATGTCCAAAGCAAAACTTTGGAAGACTTTCAGAAAGTCTGGAGGACTATTGGATGGCTCATTGGAAGTGAAACCCAAAAGAGTTAGGGGTGGCTCAAGACTTATGCACAGTACTGTATGTTTAGCTGCGATGCAAGCATTTTGTCATTGAGCAGTCCAATAATCAGATATAAATTTGTGTCTACTACATTTCTGTGAGTTAACTCTTTTCCTACAAAGACGACCTCCCTGTATCCTTAATGGCTTTTGATGCAAACCCAGTCATTTTGTTACATAAGCTGAAGTATGACGACCTGCTCGGTTCAGAGAAGAGGTTCGAGTTATCTCTAGTAGGCTTTCAAGGGGTAAACAGTTAAGCTAAATTAATTTGATAGTCTGCATTTTTTTATTAGACTTGAATGTGAATAATTCACAAAGCCAGGAGAAACGTTACCATGTTTGTAACTTGTTTAGCCAAATGCAATAACTTACTAATGCAAAGCTAACATTAGATTCTTACCAGAAAAATAAACAGAGCGCCAAAAAAAATCTTTTCACTTGAAAACTAAAAGGTTTTTGGCCAGCTAAAGGCACTTTAAGAGTTTTAGCTCTCTAGTGAATATTAGAGTGCCTGACTGTTTTTCCCTTCAGTGTGATGCGTTGTGCTCCTTCATAAAACCCTAAAGTCAAGTTTTCCCCTTATTCCTCCTCATCGTACACATCTTCGTTTTCTATTTTCTCTCGCCAAATTTGTCTCTTCTTATGAGCATATCCATCCTGCATTTCATTTTTCAGATTAATAAGCAGAATTTACCTCCCCGGTCCTCTGTGCCTTCCTCCTGGCTTGAATTTGCCTCCTCTCATTGCGCTCCCTGGCCCATCGCTCTGTCTCGCTCTCCCCTGTGTTGGCCTCCACATCTGGAACAAAGCCAGACAGCAGCCTTTTAAGACCAAACTAATGTTTGCGAGCAAAAACCACACGCTGATGAGCGAAGGAAATGTGAAAACAAAAACCCAAACAAGCAACAAGGGCGGCAGCCTACCTCTTCTGTCAGAGGTCTGAGGTCTAGGTGTGCCAGCAGGTTGTGTGAGGCCCAGCAGGTCTGACTTCTGCAGGCTGGCAATACGAGACCTCCAGCTCAATTCCTGTAAACACAGCATCCCCTACTTTGTGACGTCACATGGTGTTACATAAGGACAGCAGTCAACAGGCCTCTAAAGTGCCGGCTCTCACCCCTTCCTCGCCCTTCTTCTGCTTTGCTTCTTTCTCCTTCTCCTCTTCCTTTTCCCTCCCTTTGTTGTCCGTCTTCATGGTCTGTATGGTCTTCTCTGCCTCCTGCAGATCTGTTAGCGTTACCCCCTTGAGGTGAAAGAAAACACAGTCAAGCGCCAAACTGACACAGCCTCTATCAGTAGGGCGAACATCTGAGCAAGTATCCCCACCTGAGTGGAGCGGCGGGATTGCCGTGCATGTCGGGAGCGAGCTTTCCTCTGCGCCTCTGCCTCCTCATCCCGCACTGGTGTCAGGTAGGACCTACATTAGCCGAAACGCAAGTTTAGCAACAAAGTCGCGCCCTTCGACATCCTCAAAGACACGCTTATCACTCACTTGCGCCTCTGCTTGGCTTCCTGTTCGCCTGCGGTCGTGCTCTGAGAGTTGGAGGTGGTAATGGCTGGTTGATCCTTCTTTTCCGTCTGTTCCTGAGGAAGTCTTTTCGTAGAAAGAAAGATGAAAGGTGACTCATATTGGTCCAGAGGAAAAAAAAAATAAAAAATTGTACATGCAGTGTAAAATGAAAAATACCTCTGAGCCAAGACACTATTAAGGCGGCCGAGTACAGCAGAGCTCGTTCCTGTGCTAGCTGAGGTCACGGTGGGGTCATCCAGTCTCTTTCCATAAGATGAGCTGGAAACAAGACAGAACCCATTGGAAACTCAAAGGCACCTTTCACAGCCGCGCACAAATTAGCGTTTGCCGTTAGGGGACAGCAATAAGCTGTGACAATTACACACAAACAGCAGAGTTAGACGGGCAGTGAGCAGCATGACTGACCTGTGAAGCAAAGACGGGGTGGAGCTAGTGAGATCATTTCCTGACTGACTATTGAAGCGTCGGGTGTAAGAGGAGCTACGGCTTAGCCAACTGAGAGAGAGACACACACACACACAGGGTGACAAGGGGACATATGCAGGGATTCGGATTCTGGCTTCACAAACGCGGACGTGTATGAGAGTTGAGGCCCACCTGTTGGAGTTGTCAGCAGTGTTATCTGGAATACTGAAGAGTCTCCGTGTTGGATTGGGCGGCACTCGAGCAAGCCTTGGCTCCTGAGCGCGAGGGGGAAGAGATCAGTTTGTCATTTATTTATGTGACTCAGTGAATGGAGGCAGTAAAGAAGCCTTTATTTGGCCTGTCAAGCTAGATTTATAGAAGTACGACTGTGGTTTCATCCACTTGGCCCCGCCCCTGCAGGACTTCACTCTCTCGTATGAGCAGCAAGGAGAAGATCTGCCTCCACGAGCGGGAGAAGCACCCTCCGCCTCCTGCCCTGCAGAGCAGTCTGGCAGAGGACGAGGAGGAGGAGGGCCAGGCGGGACAGAACCAGTCTCAGGGCCAGGCGAAAGCCTCGAGCAGCTCCAGCTCAGAGGAGGAGAGCGAGTCTGAGAAG